CGAGCCCCCATCTGAATGTCAGATGTAAGGGAAACTGCTCAGGAATCTACCGTGGGTCAGGCCTCAGCTCAGCTCTGGGCAGAGCAGTGATGAAAAACAGAAAGCTGCATTCTCTCGAGCTGACTTCTAGCACAGGAGCAGACATTAAATAATGCATGAGTAAGACACAAGGACGGCAGAGGCAGCAAGAGCTGCAGGACAGAGAGCAAGGAGGAGATGAAATAAGCCCAGAGGTGGGGATTGTGGCTTCAAAAGTGTGATTAGGACGAGCCTCTCTATCAAGACAAAAAGAGTCAAAATGGAAGAATTCATCATTCATTGTTCATTGAATAAATACTTAGTAGCAACTAATATGCCAAGCTGAAGACACAAACTTAAAATAATTCAATATAAGGATCCACACGCTGCATTGGATTAGTTTCAACCTTTGTTCAGGTCGATGCCAGTTTTCACCATCTCCAAACCAAAACTGTTTATCGCTAATTGGGCCTAACTAAGCTGGACAGCTAAGGATGAAACACAGACTTATCTATCTTATCTCACTGACTCCGGCAGGCAACTAGGAAGTAAGGCTCAGTTTCCTGTTTTACCATGCGATCTTGGAAACGTGATGGTGATCAGCCTCGGTTAGGAGACCAGATGGGCAAGGCCAAGATTCAGTAAGGAAGCGGGCTGGGCTGGGCCGGGTGTGTAACTCAGGAGCAGAGCACTTGCCCAGTTGGCAGCTGGGCCTGGTTTGGTCCCCAGCAAAACAGATAAAGAGGACACGGTGGCGTGGTGGCCTGGGCTGGTCCTAACGTACTCATGGCCGCTCCTGGCGATCTTGAACCTAGAGAATCATCCAGAAAGGAGCGCCAGTGTTGTGGCCCTAGGTGAGGTTTCTGCAGGGGCACCAGGGCCCACACTATTTCCCCAACCTGTGCCCAGAGTGCCTTGCCATGGAAGGGACACTCTGAAGAAAGCGGTGATTTGTAAATGTCTCCATCACCCTTGGACAACCCATACTTATTTTTTTCTTAGATCCCGAAGGGGGGATAAAAATGCTCCGTGAACAACTTGTGTCATTGTGCAGAAAAATGCCACCCTAAGATATTCTGAATCTCTGAAAGTTCAAAGCATTTAACTAGAAACCATTTAAAAATTGTTGAGCATTTCTGACTTGCCACCACAAATTCAACAGATGCAATAAATCAGCGGTTTTCAAAAATGTTTGGGTAACTTCTAATTATGAAAAACTGTATCTCCTTGTACATTTTGACAATGGCATCAAAATTTTCCTTTCATATATAAGCTTAAGTCATTGCAAAGAATGTATTTTTTAGCATGTTATAAAATAGACATTTAAAAATACAATTTTAAAACCAATAAGTATTTCTACCTTCTTGTGTACTCTAAAATGTGCTTTCAGTTAGTTCTATTGAAAAGTTTAATTTTTTTCATTTTTTCCTTAAACCTTTATCCATTTCCTTTTTGCCTTAGAATATTACCTTTACAATTATCTTTGAAAGTAAGTGCTTATTATCTTGCTATGCATCTTGAATCAACAAAAAATTTTGATATATGTATTTTAATTTCTGTGACAATTAGGATTAAGAACTTACTTTCAAAATGACCTGGATACAGTATTCATCCAATTAATAATACTCTGTTTCAAATTCTAATGTGTATTAATCCTACAAGATTTTATTAGAAACATCTCTGTGGGACATCAGTGAGGGCTCTGTTTGTTTTGCATTAGCTTCTGGTATCCACGGATACCTGTTATTTCTGAATATAGTGAGGTAGGCTTTGTTTTAGCATCCTTCAATTTTAATCTTTTAGTAAGGGTATTTACTGAGAAAACATTTCCACACAAGTGTGTATCTAGGAATGCAACAGACTATGTTGCAGTGCTGTTTACTTCTTTGAACTCTTGGTTGAACTCAGTGAGAACACTTATGTAAGGATCTATTTCCTACAGCTAATGTTAGTGACTTGTCACAACTTTCCTTGGCTTACCACTTATATAAGTACACCTGCAAGTATGTACAGGAACATATATAATGTGCTACATACATATTCCATATATGATGTGTTTTAATTTGTGAAGACTGCTGTCCTAAAATTTCCTTTGCACCGAAATGGAGCATGCAACTTTTGTATAAAATCATCACGAAGCAGAGAAGCTTGTACACTACATGATTTAAGCAGGGTAGAGATGAGCTATTGGTACTCATGGCAATGATTTTCCTCATATTTTTTCCTGACAGAATATTTAAAGAAATTAAACGTTACCAGCCCCAAACTAAAATTGGAGCTATTTTAAATTGCTTTGTTTCTATAAAGGATATTATTGAAGTTCTCTCAAATAATTTGTAATCCATTTTTCTTTTCTTTTGAGATGGCGTCTCCCTGCGTTGCCCAAGCTGGGCTCAGAATAGAAATCCTCCTGCCTCAGCATTCCAGAGTGCTGTGATTACTCACTTATTTTCGCATTTGCAGCGCACAATGATTCCATGCTTCGTGGGGGGTTTGCACGTGTACATAACACAAACCCTTTCTTCCTCCCCTTCCCCTCCAGTCCTGCTCTGCTCTCTCCAACTGTACCTTCCCTTCTGATTTGCAACAGCTCGATTTCCATCTCTCTCCTCATTTCTTTTTGTTTCATCTCTTTTAAATCCATTTTGTTATCAATGAATTGTGTGCTTAAAGTGCCCATTCCTGTATGGGAAGCAAATTCTTAATTCAATTTTGTAGCCTCTTTCAAACATAGAACCTGCTATATTAGTGAACCTGATCCATGCAAACACATTTCCTATGTGCGACATCCACTGCAGGCCCTGGATGATGCAGAATTTGTATAAAAAGAAACCATCTTGGGTCTAGAACAAGTTTTGCTTCCTGTGTTATATTGTGATTTGTTTTGTTTGTGTTATTTGGGAACCGAATCCAAGGGCCTCCCACATGCGAAGCAAGTTCTCTACCCCTTAGGTACTATACAGTCCTAGAGCAATGTTAATATTTTTTATTTCATTTGAAGCATGGTCCTAGGCTCTGCTCTGTTTCTGTTTTCAGATCTGTCAGTGTCTTTATGTTCTGGGAACTCCACTTGTGAGTGGACCCACTATTTCTGATAGATAGGAAGTGTCTCTCTCTCCCGGTATGACTGTGGTTTGTAAGGAGAGTAAAGCAATTCCAAGAGTCAGGTCAAAGGCACCACTGTCTGTCTATTTAAAATTGTATAAGCATTACATAATGTGCCATCTCAGCTGGTTTGGCTGGTCAGTTTATCAGGTAATTGTTCCCTTTTTATTTGTTGTTGTTGAGTTTCTCTGGATAAACTAGGACTGTAAATATAATAGATCTTACCTACACACAGCACATACCTAGCATTGCATCTCAAGGAGACTCACTTGTTTGGCAGAAAAGTACTTATGAGCTCCAAATCAGGTGATTTAGCAGAAGTTTCTGATTATACCTGAAGAAGCCATGTAACAACTGAGGCTTTAGATTTATACATAGTTTCTCTTTAATAACTTTATTTCCAGATGTGCTGGGGACAGGGCCGGTAGATGGGGTTTGCTGTAATCAGGTGCTTATGGTTGTAACTTGAGTAAAGATGCGAAGGATTCTGAACCCTCAGCTATGCTCTTCTGGAAAGGGGGGCAAGAGAGCTCAGTTTGGACTCTGATGGCTACGTCAGTGGGGACTTGGAGCAACAGAGTCCACAATGTGCCCGCTGTAATTAGTATCTTCAAGGCAGCGGGGTGTGACGATATTCCTACACACACCTGGAAAGATGCCTAGGGATACAGTACATCCCAGGCTGCTAAGACCTTTTCAGTTCTCTGAGTACAGGCAGACAGAAGCCTTTACAAACCATTCCTCCCTCGGTGGACTCTTTTCTTGGCATTTGGCTCATCTGAAAGTAACCAAATGAGTTCTATCTTTCCACTCAGCATTCAGTGGTTTGATTAAATTAAACTCGCCTATCTTCATACCAGTACAGATACAGGTGAAATGTCCTGTGAATGAATAGTTCTTAGGAGTTGGCTTAATTTATAATCAAATGCTGAGGGGAACTTTTGGCTTCAGAAAATGTAAGGCTATAGAATTACTGTCTTCTTTGCTGGGCCTAAGGAACTGGGCAGATGCTTTGGATCCATCTGGAAGCCTCTTTGCTCCTGCCTTTTAGCTAATGTTTCCTTCCTCTCCCAGAAGCTGAGCTCTTATCTCCTTGCACCACAGAAACCAAGCACGCTCCCCAGGCGTCCAGAGCTGAGCAGACCTTGGGACCAGCTCCCAAATATCGAGAGGCAGCACCCTCAGTTACACTCTTCCCCCTTTCATGAGCCGGGAAAGGAGGTAGAGGAAAGGGGGTAGCTGTTACTCAAGCTAGTATTCAGTCAAGCATTGCTCGGCCCTCCAGAAACTCTCGAGCTTCTCACTTGAGAGTAAAAGCAAAAGGAACACAGGATGGAAAGCACTCACCAGGAAGGCTGCCCAGATCACTTGGGGTCACAGGGCCGCCTCAGACTTAGACTGCAAGTTCCCTGAGCTTCCCCAACCCTGAGAGCCAACAAGCTGGCTCAGTCCTGGCGACTGATATAGATAGCTAAGGCTGTGCTCCACAGGATTCTCAAGGACCCCAACACACCACACACACACGCACATACGCATGTGCACGCACACACTCATTCACTTTGCATTGAATGTGACTTTTTGGGGGTAGCAGGGATTGAGGTACCAGGACCTTGCTCTTGCCAGAGCACATTGCCAGCCCAAGCGTGATTTTCAGTAAAGCTGTTTTCGGTAGACTGCTAGCCCAGCCCTCAGCACAGACCCCGGCGTTTCCCATTCAGTCTTTTTTTTTTTTTTTTTTTTTTTTTTTTTTT